AATTGATCATATGGGAGTCTCGGGTATGTTCTTCACCTAGATTAGGAATGTTGGTCTTTGTCTAATTATGAGTACTCATGACGATGTTTTTTGTTTATAGTTATTATTAATAAACAAATAGTTTGAGTTTTCGCTGCAAAGTATTGGTTTTGGTTAGTAGTTTGAGTAGATTTACGTAATCACGCGGCGGTAATACGCCTAAGTTTATCTCTATGGTATAATTATACTTATTATACTAGTATTTCCGTAGAGGGAGATTTGGGGGTGTTACACCTTCAATTCTCCAGGGCTCTCAATGTTTGGTGTAGGAACATTCGCCGGACCACGACCCAGCAGCCATGCCTCATCCCATACACTAATACTCTCTCCATTACCCACTCTCCATTTCAAACCTTTGAGAAGCAAAGCTTTTGCACCCGAAATACTTCGTCATACATAGCTTGGATCATAGCCCCTCCTAGCATCCACAAAATCATCATTCTTAAAGTATCTAACCTTTTAATATGTTAGTAATTTAAAATTACTATCTCAGTTTCTTATTGCACAATACTCGTAATTTAAATGTGACCTGTAAAACAAAACAAAAGTAGTGTTATTCATCCAAAAAAAAATGTTAGATTCATCTTACACTGTACTCTTTTCGTCCCTAATAATTTGACCCATTTGATTTTTTGCGATATTCAAGATGCATTTTAAAATGGTTTTATCTCCATTTTCATATGTGTAAAAATTATAAAAATGAGATAATAATAAAGTATACAATGAAACGAATTCAACAAGATCCCACATGACTATATTATCTCTTCAATGCGTGGTCCCTACAGGCGCCTGTACGATGCGCATCGTACATACGTTTCATTAAAAAAAAACGGGAAGAACATATTATAAAAATATAATGAACATATAGTTATAGTGAAAAGACATACTATTAAAATGTAATGAACATATACCTAGAGTGAAAAGAACATACGATTAAATAATGTTTTTTTTTATCAGAACACATGATGTACTTTATTTTTGTTTATAATGTACATTTAACTATTAATACTTTGCTCTTTTCATATGTTCATTATCATATCAGATAATGATCTTTATTAAATATATTGATAAACTATTGAAAATGTCCATGTTCTTTGATTGTTAGTGTAATGTACTTTTATTTGTGACATAATGTTCATTACTTATTGTGAAATGTTTTTTGAATTTTTTCTTTAGATTATAGTAGGTATATATAAATAATATTCATTACATAATATTATCATTTTCTTTATCAATATTACAGACGTTCTTTAGATATACAAAAAAGAACATAAAGCTAGATGTTATTTACAAAACAACTATATGTTTTTTACAACGGCTATTTCACCAAATGTCACTGAGCAATTGCGAAATTCACCAAATGCCATCCGACTTTTCAAAATTCACCAAATGCCACCGAGTTTTAACAAAATTCACCGAGTGCCATTAATGACTGACAGCCGTTAGTTGACCGTTAGTGGATCCCACCACTTGCCACGTGTCACTTTCTGATTGGTCCATTTAAAAAAAAAATAAATTAAAAAAAATTAAAAAATTCCAAAAACAAACCAAAAATATTAAAAAAAATAATAAAAAAAACCCCAAATCTCAAACCCCAGCCGCCACCTCGGCAGCCACCATCCCACCTGCACCGGCGTGCTGGCGGCCGCCGGCCCCCCTCCCTTTCCCCTCCTCTTCCCCCGTCGCGCCACCTACCCTAGCCTAAACCCTTAATACCACCGCAATCAGCCCGCAACACCACCACATCCAGTCCACCGCAATCAACCCTTGCTTCCTCCGCACTGCCGCCGGCCCCCCTCCCTTTCCCCTCCTCTTCCCCCGTCGCGCCACCTACCCTAGCCTAAACCCTTAATACCACCGCAATCAGCCCGCAACACCACCACATCCAGTCCACCGCAATCAACCCTTGCTTCCTCCGCACTGCCGCCGGCCCCCCTCCCTTTCCCCTCCTCTTCCCCCGTCGCGACCCACCAGAGCTTTAAACACAAAATCCAAAACCCCACCCCCTTCCTCCACCTCCCCGAACAATTCAAATCAAATTGGGGCTTAATTGAGATAAACATGAAGGAGTGTGCTTCAATGGAACCCAGATTTCGCTTCAATGGAGGGACGAAAATGGAGTGTGCTTCAATGGGAGGAGCGGCGGTGGAGGGGGTTGTGGTGGAGAACCAGCAACAGCGAGAGGGAGGCGCGGCGGTGAGGGGGGCTGTGGAGGCGAGCTGCTTTAATGGAGAGACAAAAATGGAGGAAGTGGTTTAATACGTGCGACGGAGGGAGGTGGGTCGCAACGGGGGAAGAGGAGGGGAAAGGGAGGGGGGCTGTTGGATCTGACGTGTTTTCTGGTGGTGGGGTTGAGGGGGGTGGCTGTTGTGGTGTTGGGCGGAAGTTTGAATCTTACGGATTCACGGATTCCGTCGTTCCCATCGCTTCTTAATTATCGACTTCTGCCTTGATGTGCCTCCTCCTTTTTCAATATGAAATTCGAGATTCACTTGAGAGTTGAGAGGTCGAGGCCGTCGAGGTAGCGAAGGCTTTCCCGTATCACCAGCAGACGCTATCGTGCTCAGGTGCACCTAAGGTCTTATGATCTAGTGGCCGCAGCACGGTTACCAAGCCGTACTACCAACGCAACGAGGATTCAGGAGGAGAAGGAGTAGGGGCTACATCCGCACGCAAAAGGAATGAATGTGGTTCTGGTTGAGGCCCCCCGAAATAAAGATATCGGGGTTGGACTTCTTGGGTGGGGTGGGCCATTCCATCCAATTTTGGTATGCAGGAAGGGGTGCTCCTGGGTGTGTGTAGGAGTTGAAGTTGTAGCCTTAATCTGTGCTGTGTATGGAGCTAATCTACTGTACCCTCTCTGATTTGGAAAAAGATGATCTTGCTTGGGCCGCGGACCTTCTTCCCCGGCGGGAGCTTCTGGTTTCGGAGAAATAAGTGGCTCACGAGGAATGGGTACGGGCGTTCCCCGACAGGGGCCTGCCAGCTCAGGAAGAAGGACTTGTTACATCCTCAAAAGAGTTTCAAGTTTGGGTTCAACCATAGGTGAAAGATAGCCTACACAGAGTGGAATGAGGGGGAGCGGCTCGATCGACAAAAAAGGCTGCGAGATGCTCCTTCGACACCTAAGACGATTTATACTATTGATCAGCAGGTCTCCGGAGAGGGCCCGTCGTGACCTTTTGGCCAAATTTCCTCCCGAAGCCCGCGAGCAGTACGAGCTCGACCGGGAAAAACAAAGAAAAAGATTCGAAGGCGGGGCGGGCGATAGCTCCTTTTAATCTTTTTCTCTTGTCTCCAGAAGAAAAAAGTAGGGGTGCTACACCAAGTACTCAATCGATGGGGGCTCTCAAAGATTGCATCATCGACGCGTATGGCATCGCCACTCCCTTTGGCAGCATCCACTAATTCGGAACTTAATTTGAAAGCCATATTTCGACCCGGACGTTTTCGGGCTGCCCCCAATAACCAACGAATGGCAAGCGCTTTTCCTTGTGTGGATCCTATTTCAATGGGAACTTGATGAGTCGATCCGCCTACACGTCTTGCTTTTACGGCGCACCGGCTACTGGTAGAGCTCCTGGGAAAAGAAGAAGGTATATACCAAGAGATGATATGCCAACAGCAGATGATTTCAAAATGAGTCAAAGAAGATCTTTTTGCAGCGGCCACAGCGGATGCTAACACTGGACTTGCTTGCAGAGATGTGTCTTAGGGCATCCCGTTCCATCGAACTTGTCCATGTCGGGCTATGGAAGAAAGGGAGGGTGGTGGGGCTGGGGTGGCGGCTGGGGTTTGGGGTTTTTTTTTTTAAAATATTTGTTTAATTATTTTTTTTAAAAAGGGACCAATCAAAAGGTGACACGTGGCAAGTGGTGGGATCAACTAACGGAAATGACATTTGGTGATATTATACTAAAACTCAGTGGCATTTGGTGAATTTTGAAAAGTTCGATGGCATTTGATGAATTTCAAAATTACTCAGTGGCATTTGGTGAAATAGCCGTTTTTACAAAACAATTATATGTTCTTTTCGCTTTTTTCTTAAAAAAATAATAATTAAAAGGTTGGATGTACCAATCTTGGTACATACGCATGACCATAAAAATTTCATTATCTCTTATAAATTAAGTCAATTAAATGGTTAAAGATTGACCCATAAATTTGCAACGGGGCAAAAATTTAGGGACAAAGGGCATACTATTCATAAAATCGTGCCTCATGTTGTGCCCAATCTAGAAACGTCACTAAGCCTAATACAGGCCACAACAAGACATCAGAGAGCCTCTCATACCGGGTCGTGCTATGTTTAGAGCAAGCTAGGTCTATTCCTATCCAAACTAGAGGTGTCAATTCGGGAGTCCGAATCGGATTCGGTAAGGTCGGGTCGGATCGAGTCAATTTCAAATGTACACACCAATCGAAATTTGAATATGATATTTTTTGGGTCGATTTTAGATCAGATCGTGTCGGGTGTGATTTTCACACCTCTAATCCAAACTAAAATTGCACCCAAATTTGTTTGATGCTACAAGCTCACAACCCAAAACCAATCTTCTAATTGTAGCCTATAGTTTTTATTCAAAATGAAATATAAAGGCTTAAAGCCCAAAATCCAACAATATGGTCAGCAGATACTCTTTATTTCCACGCATTTCCAGTAGTACACTTTCCGGCTACTGCGCTGCCACTTCAATTTTGCTGCCAAAACCTTCAAATTCAACTTCCTCCTTGTTCAGTTTCATGGATTAGCTCTTTGCAATCATGGGTAAGCTTCTTCTTACGCTCTAATTGCTTTCTTTAAGTCTTTTGACCAATCTTGTATTGCTCTATTTATATGTAAATTTGCTGCATAATTTAGTATATTAGTACCCCATTTAATTAGCAAATTCATCAATCTTGTACTTATATTTCAATGATTTTTTCAACACCCAGAATTTAGAAAGTTTAGATTTTGAATCATGTTGCTGAAATTTTCAACTGGTGTGGTAACATTTGTTAGAAACTATTCCACACAAATTGGAACAAAATTTCCTATAAAGAAACCCCAATTTACCAATGTTAGAATACCCAGAATCTCTAAAGTCCCTAATGTGGAATGGACTGATGAGCAATTGCAAGTTTTTGAAGCTGTTAAGCGCCGCGAATCGGTTTTTGTTACTGGGTCTGCTGGCACTGGGAAAACCATGTTAGTTCAGGAATTGATTAAGACACTTAGGAAAATGTATGGAAAAAGGTATGTTTGTGTGACTGCCCCAACTGGTGTTGTGGCCTGTACTCTTGGGGGTCAGACCCTTCACTCATTTGCTGGTGTTGGCCTTGGTGAGGCAGATGCCGAGGCGTTGCTGCCTAGGGTTTATGGTAATAGGTGGGTTTGTAAGAGGTGGACGATGGTTAAAGCGTTGGTGATTGATGAAATCAGTATGGTAGAAGGGGAGTTTTTTGATAAGCTTGAATACATTGCTAGAAAAGTTCGGGGAATAGATAAGCCGTGGGGGGGTATTCAGCTAGTAGTCAGTGGCGATTTCTTGCAGCTGCCACCAGTGAATGTCGGTAAGAATTTTGATAATCGAAAGGTATTTGCTTTTGAAGCTGATTCATGGGATTGTTCATTTCAGTTACAAGTGGGTCTGAAAACAATTTTCAGGCAAACAGACCCTGAACTTATTAGGCTGCTTCAAGGTATTAGAAGAGGGGAGTTAGATGATGAAGGTCACGAGCTGCTTATGCAACGGCGTTGTTCTGAAGAGCCTGATGAGGCTGTTTTGAGATTATTTCCAAGAGTAGAAGATGTTAATCGAGTAAATGGTGCAAGATTGGAAGGTGTGGGAGAAGAAATTATTGTTTATGAAGCATATGATAGCGGCGAAAAAAATTGGATTGATCAATTGGATCGTGGATTAGCTCCCAAGACACTTCACCTTTGTAGAGGTGCTAGGGTGATACTAACAGTGAATTTAAATGTGAAGAAAAACTTGGTGAATGGTGCTACTGGTACAATCACAGGTTTCCGAAAGGCGATTAAAGGTGACATTGCGAATATATGTGCTGATAAGCTGTTGCCTACAGTGAATTTTGACTCTGGATGTGAGATGGAGATAGGTACTCGTACATGGGATCTAGTGATGGGAGATAAGAAGTGTGCTACAAGGATGCAGTTACCCCTTATGCTGGCATGGGCGATGAGTGTTCATAAGTCTCAAGGCATGACTGTGGACAGGCTTCACACTAATCTCTCGCGGGCTTTTGGTTTTGGAATGATTTATGTTGCTCTTTCCCGTTTAAGAACCTTGGATGGTCTTTCTTTCACTTCGGAAATTGACCCCAAAAAAATTAAGGCTCATCCTAAGGTTTTAGAGTATTATAACAAGCATTTTTTGTGAGATTGTGTGCAACTGCAGGGTTTTCTGACCTGCAGCGAGTAATTATGATGAAGTTGGTGGCTTGGTGCTGAAGATTGGCGAAGTAATATAGGTAGAGCAAGTGTGTATATTTATTGTGGTTTAGTTCTGAGATGTGTCTGCAAATTTTTCTTCTTTGATTGTAGGATTAGTCTATGGTTTAGAATTCATTTGTTGAACGCAAGAAAGCGAACAGAGACAACTTCTGGTTTATTAAAGTGTAGACAGGTGATATGAAAGTGTATTTTCCATCTATATTATCCGTCTCATCTTTATTTGCTCTTTTCTGGAAATTTGTTGTTATGAATTCATATTATCCTAGCTATCAATATATGGCTCCAATGAGGTTGACAAGAATGTCTAGGCTAGGCTTTGAATGTGGGCTGCGGGAGGTCAAAAGCCTGCTAGATGGGAGTACAGTTCCTAGGAAGAAGCATTTCCAGACACCTAAGAATATGAGCTTGGTTGTGCTAATGTGAAATCCTATTACTGAAGTGTGACACAATGTTGAAACAACTTGTTTAAAAGTTTGGTTATTGGTTTGATATTAGTGGGTTTTTTTTTTCCGACCTGTCGATTGCTTGTGGCCTTTCAAGAAGATTATCATGATGAGGAGAATTTAATATGACTACAGTTTTACAGTACTTTCTGACCTTGATCCTTCAAAGATAATGGCCTATCCCAAGGTTTTACATTATCATAAGAAATGTTTTGATGAAGTACTGTGCAAACTAGGTTTGCTAATTGATGTGAGATCCTACAGCCGCTTGAAATTTGTAAAGCAATTGTAAAGTTTGATCACTTTGATGTGCATTTAATAGCTATTGCGATATAATTGCAGATGTTTCTTCTCTATTTGTAAAATTAGTCTAAAATGTAGACATTTGCATTTTACATGGAAGTTTCTTTACCTTACATACGTTCCTTTCTTACACAACTTGGTTTATTCGTACACTAGATGTCTCTTAATTGTGTTTCAAACCTTTTTTTTTTTTTTTTGGTCTTTTCTAACATCTTCATTTTTTGGGAGCTCTTCTTCTTCTTATTATTATTATTGTTATTTTATTTTATTTTATTTTATTTTATTTTTATTTTTTATTTACTAGCACTTCAAGTTTTCAGAATAACTTTCATCCTAGCTACTAATACACGTACGAAATAGCTCACAAGATTTTGGTTAGTTTGGTCTTTGAATCAGTAGGGCATAACAGAGTTCAGAACCCTGCTTGCTTTATAGACCGTGAGAACTGAGAAGAGTCTAGTTGTTATCCTGCAAGTTTTCAAACATTAAGCTGTAAGTGTGTGGCTTGGTTTTGTTCATGTGAAATTTACTGCTGCAACAAGTTATTACCATGAGTTCATGTTGGGTTTACAGATGGTTTAATTTTGTAGTTATTAGTCTGATTTTTGTGCTGTTTTATTTTTATTCAATCTGTTGACTGCTTATGGGCCTTACCAATAGATGCTGGAGATATAAGGGAAGAAAAAACCCCTGCACTTTTGATACTATTGGCTAATATAGTTTCACAATTCTCAAATCTACAAACACGAATGTAGTTTTTCTTCTGTCCTGTGGCGCTGCAGGACAGTAGATTAGACTAAGTTAGCTGATGATAAACATCACTGATACATTAATATGGAGTATCATGATATGAGTTTTTTTAGCCCTTGTCACGAGAGATTGATACAATGTGATAATTAATGTCGGACAGATGACTGAGTATATATATATTCAAAGACAGATGAAATCCAGCACTTTCTCACTCACAGATCAGAAACATAAGATGGACACTTTTATTTGCTACTAGCTAGTCTCCCTCGTCTCTACGACTTAAGGATTACAGCTTCATTTATCCACGGTTTATGGTATATTATTGTTTTCAACGACATTCATTCAATACATTCATCCAAAGGTAGCGCAAACACCCTAAAAAGGGTCCGGATAAATGGCAATAATACGGGTCACAACATGGGTAAAATGGACCACAAGACTGGCCATTACCTATGCAAGCCATGGTGGGTTGAGGTTTCATAGAAACCAATAAAACAGCTAGTAAAACTAGCAAACTAACCACTTTCTTCATGATCTTAATTTGGCTTGATCGCCTAGCTCACTCGCTTGCTTAATTGCTTCTCCTTCGTTTTGAGGGTAATGGAAATTTGTTTTTGAGTAATGATGATGGTAAAGAGTAGAGAAGGCCACACTTTTATAACTGTGGTTCAATTTATGCTTTGCCATTTATCAATTCTATCATCAATTGTTAGTTGTTATGTGATTTACCTCGTTAGCAACTAGCATTCTCAGTATAATCACAAGCTCTAGTCAAACAAGTTCAGTTATATACTTGTACGTTGTACCTATTGAATATTAAGTAATGCAACTTTTCTGGACTTCTTCTCCCTTATCCTTGTACTCTGCAACATTGGAACTATATCAAGAGACTGTTCTTGGAACGACTGCCATTGCTGCTGCCATCCCTCATACCACTGTCTGTGCACCCAGACCATTAATTCGATGTCTTGTAGATTCAGATCCTCAGTAAGCAGTTAGCAGTCTCCAACTTGTGCAACCTTCACAAGCTTGGTTATCCAACACTTGGTCTCAGACTCTCAGCCATCTCTTTGTAATATACAAACAGCAACTGACTATAATTCTGCCATTACTCCTCAATCCTCGTAAAAGACTTGATTTTAAAGCAATCATTTTTTTAACTCGAAATATAAGTTGGTTTTATTTTATTTTATTTATTTATTTTACTTAACATAATTTAATCTTTAAACAATGGAAACTGACCATGCACCCAGCAACGCACTACTAGACGATTAAAAAAATTACATACAACTACGCAGCTAACACTACAACAATGAAGCCACCAAGATAACATTACATGCGGCGAAAATGCATATTTTACGTAAGTAGATTATACGACCATAAATACATTAATATTGAAGTATTATTGATCACATCTTGTGTCATGTCTTAAGCCTTTTTGTCGTCGGGGTAAAATCATGTTGTAGCAAGACTCCATTAAGTCTAATTCTTAATCTCTTTGGCTTGCTCGTTGCTACAGGTTCATCATCACCAAGCTTTTCATCTTTGACACATTGTTCTTGATTCGAACAACCTAATCCCCGGCTTATCATAACCTTTTCAAGCTCTTCTCTTGCATCTTTCTTATCATATTCATCCTTTTTATTACCAACATCATAAAATCCATTATGATCATCGCTTAATATATCAAGAACCCTAGCAAGCTCCCTATCTGAAAGTGATTTAATGCTGGACTTTCTCATAAGTAGCATTAGGAATATATACAAGTTACAAGTCAAACGTTCAGCCTACAATTAAGGCATTATACAAACTAAAGATATACATCACAATATATACTTAACTAACTTATGTACAATAAATCAAATATATGATAATTATATCATATATTCTAACACACCCCCGCAGTCGTAGCAGGAGGTTCACGAACGCTAAGACTGTCCCGAAAATCATCAAATAAAACCCGTGGAAGGCCCTTTGTGAAAATATCTGCAATCTGATAACGGGAGGGAACATGTAGAACCCGAACTTTGCCTTTAGCTACCTTTTCACGAACAAAATGAATGTCCATTTCTATATGGTTGGTGCGTTGATGTTGCACCGGATTACTCGAAAGATAAATGGCACTCACGTTGTCACAATATACCAGGGTTGCTTTAGTGATCGGACAATGTTGCTCTAGAAGTAAATTTCTGACCCAAAATGAATCAGAGACAACATTAGCAACTCTGCGGTACTCGGCCTCAACACTAGATAGAATTTGACAGAGTGGGTTGTCGTTTAGACGACCAAGAAATCAAGTTGTCACCAAGAAAAACACAATAACCGAGGTAGAACGTCGGGTGTCAGGACATCCTCCCCAATCAGCATCAGTATAGGAAATGAGCTTATCAAAAGAGGATTTATACAAGTGAAGACCATATGATAAAGTACCTTGCAGATAACGGATAATGCGCTTCAGAGTATTCATATGCTCATTTCGCGAATCATGCATGTGTAGGCATATATGCTGCACTGCATAGGAAATATCGGGTCTGGTGAAGGTGAGATACTGCAGAGCACCAGCCAAACTACGATGCTTGGTGGGATCCTTGTATGGAAAGTCATTCGAGGCACCTAGTTTCGGTTTAGTATCAACAGGAGTGTGACAAGGACTGCATTTAGACATGCCGGCCCTGTCAATAATATCCGCGACATACTGTTTCTAAGACAAAAACATACCACGAGCATCACGAGTCACGACAATCCCTAAGAAGAAACTTAGTGATCCCAGATCCTTCATAGAAATTCATTACCCAAAAGAACCATAAACTGCTTCCTGAGATTATCAGATGATGCTATAAGAATAATATCATCAACATATAACAGAATATAAGCAGAACCCAAACCCTGTCTGTAGATGAACAATGAGTTATCAGATTTACTGTGAGAAAAGGCAATGGTGGCAACAAAATCTGCAATCTGCTGATACCAAGCCCAAGGAGCCTGTTTGAGACCATATAGAGATTTTTTCAGTAAGCAAACATGATCGGGGCGACTTTTGTCGTGGAAACCCATGGGTTGATGCATATAGACTGTTTCATTGATGTATCCATGTAAGAAAGCATTCTTGACATCCAACTGATGGATAGGCCAAGATTTGGAAAGAGCAATGCTAAGAACAGTGCGAATAGTAGCCGGTTTTACAACCGGACTGAAAGTCTCATCACAATCAATACCTTGCCTCTGAGTTTTCCCATCACCTACAAGACGGGTTTTGTGCCTTTTAAAAGAACCATCAGAATGATGTTTATGTCGAAAAATCCACATGGACCTAATAATATTCACATTCGGAGGCCAGGGCACCAATTCCCATGTATTATTAGCAATAAGAGCATTATATCTAACATTTCACTTTTCCAATTTGGGTCACGAATAGCACTAACAGGGTCCT